ATATATTGTTAATGCTATCTTTTTTATTTTTTTGTGATTATATATATATACTGTTGGAATTATCTTTTTATTTATCTTGTGATTATATATATCGTTAATATTACCTTTTTAGATATTTTGTGATTATATATTGTCAATGCTATCTTTTTTATTTATCTTATGAATATATATATTGTTAATGCTATTTTTAATTTATCTTATGAGTATATATATATTGTTAATGCTGTCTTTTTTATTTATCTTGTGATTATATATATATTGTTAATGCTATCTTTTTTCTTTATCTTGTGATTATATATATTGTTAATACTATCTTTTATATTTAACATTATATAATGTTATCTGTTTATTTATCTTGATACTACAAATTGTTAATATCTTTATATTTTATTGGCTGTCTAAATTTTCTAATTATATGGGAACTTTAGTTATTCCAACAAGTTCAGTTATCTAATAGAAAATACAAGAAAATAGGCATGTGTGTGTGTATACAAAGATTTAATAGCAATTAAGTTACCTCTACAATGTTTAACATTTATCAGTACAGAGGATGATAAGTTACCAACGTAATGAATCTTTCGCGAGAATCCATTTTGTAACATCGCCTAATCATTCGTTTCGGCAACGAAAACATCACCAAGATTTAAAGAAACATTCTGAACGTTCCATTCTTTGAAAGGCTTCTCTCCAATCTCTTTGTTAGTAGAAAACAGTATGTGGGCTTCCGAAACGAATTCGGTAAAATCTATCGTCACTGGTTTTCTCTCAAGATTGACACCGACCACATATCTTTCCTTAGTTGGGAAATATCTTTCTAATATAACCACACTTCCGTGACCAGGGTGAAGAACGTAGGTAAATGGTCTTCCATCACAAACAGCACTCTTACCATCGTAGATGGCTTTCATCCACAAGGAGGGTGATTTGTTTCTCAGTGCTATCAATTGACTTATTAGTGAAATTTCTGCCGATCGCTCCTCAACATTTTGACTCGAAAACTCAGGATTAATGGGTAGCCAAGGTGGGGTTCCGTTTTTTGTGAAGTTAGACTCCGTAGATGAAGTCCACTGCATGGGACACAATTGACCCTCTCTGTAGCCCTGAAACAACAAATTAGAAAGTTTAACACAAGCATATGCTCAAGTCCCCTTTTTTTGGGGGGTTGGTGTTTTTGGACATATGATTAAAGCTACGCAAGGGATATTAGTTGACTCTAATGTTGAACTGATATATTAGACGAAAGGCATCTGGACCAATTCTCGGACTACTCTTGTCTGACCGAATAATGGGGTTTGACGTCATAACGCATCCACGGCCCTAAAGTACAAACTTAATTTTATTTTGCGCTAACGGAACGCGAACCACTGGACCAAACTTAGACCTTGTCGCAAAAATATATGTTTTTCGGTTGACTTTAAATTGTCTGAATATTTCATCAGTATTTCGTATTAACTAATGGGCAGTGACAGTATAAAAGCTAAATAAATGTTGTATTAGTTTTTACCTTTATTTAAATATAAATTAGTTAAACTGTTATCTAGTTTATAAATAATCAACTCCAGTAATGCATCAAAATTGTTAAAATTTCAGAAATGGTCAAAAGACATGTTACGGCATATAAATAGGTTTTTACAAACCAAATAATATTATTACACCATGCTTAATGTAAGGCACCCAATGGTTCAGGGATAAGTCTGTAGGCTTACAATGCTAAAAATCGGATTTCGATACCAGTGAGGGCCAAAGTGTAGATAGCCTATTATGTAACTTTATGATTAACACCAACCAACCAACAAAAGCTTAATATAAGACTATACGAAGATTACAAAGCTCGTTTCAAGACGGCATCTTTGTCACGCATGTTTTTTTTTGTTTGTTTGAAAAAAAAACCGAAGATGGCAAATCGTTGTTTTTTTAACGCAAAGTTAAACAATGGGCTATTTGTGATTTGTCCATCGCAGGGAATTATACCCAAGAATTTAGCGTTGTAAATCCACAGACTATACCCCAGAATTTAGCGTTGTAAATCCACAGATCATACCCCAGAATTTAGCGTTGTAAATCCACAGACTTACCACCGTCTTACAGGGAGTGGAAAAAGTTGTTTATATTGTTTTCAGTACAAGATGCGATCTTTTTCTTTTCTTTTTGTAAAAATACAGGTTTTACCTTTAACTTTAGTTTATAGAATGCGGAAACGTTATTGCCCACTTCCAATTTTCCAAACAGCAACGTTTTAACTTTAGTTTATAGAATGCGGAAACGTTATTGCCCACTTCCAATTTTCCAAACAGCAACGTTTTTTAATTTTTATAGTGAATAGACTGACAAAAAAAAAATGTAAAAATAAGACTTCAACATCCACCACGCTCCATATTGCAGCCTACAACTGCATACATTTTTTCATTCGTAAAGAATATTATCCATACACGTTTTAACGAGGCAAATATAAGACCAGAAAGTTAAAAAATAAAGTTTCACAAAATAACTGAATATAACCAACTATTTGTAAGTATACTTTATAAACTTTCTCCATGATTACTATTGTGTCGATTTTATGAAAAAAAAAAGAATTAGGAAGACAAAAGGCATGAAAATAAATGCATTTTTTTGATAAAGATATAGATTGTGTTTTTTGTTGTTGCTTTTTATTTTTGCTCATCTACTTTTTTGCATTTGTAATAGTAAGTACGAACGCTAATATCTTCATATACAGAAGATTTATAGTGCTAAATCTATCTAGAAAATCTTTTTTGGATATCATCATTATACATGATAGCTATTGGAAGTCGTTAGATTGAAAGAATACAAATGTTGTAGGAAGCTAAACACCAATCCTCTTTACTTTTAAAAACACGTCATAAAAATAAGTAATATAGCTTTATCATCTTATGAATTAGGTTTAATTTTAACCTACATTAAAATATCTGAGTAATAAAGTACTATTTGCATGATACTTTCAAAATGGTACTGTGGGAAAACAGAACAATGAGTGGTATGTCTGCGGACTTACAACGCTAGAATCCGGGTTTCGATACTCGTGGTGGGCAGAGCACAGATAGCCCATTGTGTAGCTTTGTGCTTAGTTACAAAAAAACAACAACAACAACAACAATGATTCGGCAAGTTAAGACGATTGTGAAAAATATAATATAATTACAAGTAAAACTAAGAAAAATGGTGAGTTTTTTTTTTTCACCAAATGATATCTACTTGTGAAAGTAGATAAAATATTATTATTCAATCAATACCGTAAACCTTGCTTATTTTGTAAAACTAATTGTTCTTTTAAAATCCATTATCCCACCAAACATGCTCGCCCTTTCAGCCGTGGGGGCGTTGTAATGTTTCGGTCAATCCCACTATTTGATGGTAAAATAGTAGCCCAAGAGTTGGCGGTGGTGACTAGCTGCCTTCCCTCTAGCCTTACGCTGCTAAATTAGGGACGGCTAGTGCAGATAGCCCTTGTGCAGCTTTGCGCGAAATTCACAACAAACTAAACGTTTAAATCCAAACGTTGCATGCACTTTTATATATTAATATTTATATTCTTCTCCGTTTACTATCAGATTAGCTCATAGCTGCAATGCTTTGCTGATGCAGTAACTTGTTATTTAATAAAGGCTAATCATTAGCTATTCCTTATCACGTAGAACTTCATTTATCTCTCTTCTCTTCGGCCTTATCGGAAAATCTTAGAATTCAGTGCACGTACGACTATAAATAATGAAGTATTCAACACACGGGAAACAACAATGGTTTGGTTTCATATAATTTTGGATAAGGTTATTCGGGTTTTCAGCTACTGTTGTGGGAAAGCTGGGTTTTGGTGTTATTAAATCAATGAGAAGTTTCCCGATTTGAGTACTACGGTTGATATGTGAATAAAGACATCTAACTTGTGTAATTTATAAAAAAAAAGAGCCAAATGAGATCAGATATAAGAAGATAATATACTCTCCAAAATCTCGATAACCGCGTTGTTTAAGGCAAAAATACGAAGCTTTTGTTTATTGATATTCCCGATAATGCACTGTACGTTGAATAAAATCAAATCAGTGCATCATTCCGTCTTTCCATTATTCCTATTAACTCTGTCATAATCCGTTAAGACAATGGATATTTGTCTTGCATATTTCCAATGTAAACTTGATAATTAATTCAATTATCTGATTCTGTTACAAAGAATGACACTTGCTAATACTATGTGATCTTGTGTTTCTAGCACATTTACTTTATACTTTTAAGAAGTTTTCCTTTTGAATTTAAAAGTTCACGTGCCTGGGATTTAAATTATTTCATTCATTTCACGAGATTGTTGGTCTCAATATAGAACATTATGTTTGGAACTGGCGATTAAGACTTGGTAAAGAATTCTTTTATCTAACAATGAAATATTTACTTCTGTTGACACTCGAGATTTGTACGTGAAACACTTATCTTCGTCAGAGGTTGTACTTTTTTTAAGGGGTGGAAGCCTTAAAGAATAAATGTAATTAGTTGAGAATACCGGTGATCTCTTCTTTTTTGTTTTTTGGTTCAATGATTTTTCGAAAGATCCATATAAGGAAAATGAATAAAAATATTATTAGTGTTAGACTACACCAAACTGAATTTTAATCAAGTTTATCCATTTATATGGAATTAGAATGATAATATGTTAACCCGACAGTCGATGTCCTTTTAAGGAAAAACGTTGTACTATCACTTCAACCACGTTGTAATGATTAGTTTACAACAGAAGAAATCGTGGGTTAAAACTAAATCTTTTGCAGTCTTTTATTTCGAGAAAACACTTCAGGTAGTTTGATTAAACTTTTTTTTCCAAACCTTTAATTTGTTTGTTGAATTTCGCACTAAATTACTCGAGAGCTATTCGCGCTAGCCCTCTCTAATTTTGATGGCTAATCAACACCACCTACCACTAACTCTTGGGCGACTCTTGTCGGAAATAAGAGTGGGATCTGACAGTCACTCTTATAAATCAGATATGGAACACGATTTGTTTTTGAGGCTAACGAGATTCGAACATTAGATCCGCAGATCCACAGTTTGGCACATTAACCACTGGGCCATGCACTGTCTCTTTAAAGTCATAACTTTAGAAATGTTTATAGTTTGATTGAACGCCATCTGTAGGCTTGTTAAGGTCATCAATGCATTCCACGATGAGCCTGAAAACGTTTCCACCTTGATGAATAGTGAGTAACAAAACAAGTACGACATAATTGAAGTAATTTATATTAAACTATATATATATATATTGTTCACATATTCTGTATTATCTAAGTAAATAAGTGTGTAAAAGGTTTTTACCAATTTTGTATATACATGTTAAGGAATAAGGATAATACATAAAAATATCCAATTCAAACAGATAAAACAATAGCAGATCAAGAGAGAAAGTTCGGGGAATTGTCCTTCCTGGTGTTTCTTCTTCGTCCTCAAACCCATAATAAGAAGAAAAGTAATGTGTGGGTTGTATTGTATATTTATTGTATGAGAAAATTCTAATAACCTAATGTTTATTGTATTGTTCTCTTATAGAAACACTAATTAATGAAACATTTAATAGTGTATAGCTCGAAGATTATTTCAAGGCAGGAGAACAAGAAAATAGTAATAAATCTTGATAAGACGTAAGTTGTAGTAATGTTTCTTGTATTGTTCTCTTATAGAAACACTAATTAATGAAACATTTAATAGCGTATAGCTCGAAGATTATTTCATTGCAGGAGAACAAGAAAATAGTAATAACTCTTGATAAGACGTAAGTTGTAGTATTAAACATATTAACTCCCACTGGATATCAGTTCATGGCCGACTAAGAATAGCAATACGCTAGAAATATTTCAGTGCATAAAACCATTTAAAACTCCATTGGGTAACATTGTTCATCTGTCATCTAGCTTGGCGTATAAGAACTGATAGCCGAATATGGCTAGAACGTATTTATAAATGTTTTGCCCAGAGATAAGTCGTAGATCGTTAGTAATGTATTTGTATCAAAGATTTATTTCCAAATAGGGCAGCTCGCAGCAAATAAACTATATATAAGTAAACCTTTATCTAATAAATTCTGGCTATCTTGAAACTTTATATATATATATATATATATATGTACATCGTAGGTATAAGCAAAACATATGTATAATATTTAAGACATAATACAAGCATGGGTCCTTATAAATTTACATGTATCAAGCTTTAGGGCCTTTGTCAGCAACATTAATATACCAAAACTCCCTTCTAATTGAAACAACTTAATAACAACATTAAGATTAGTTTTCGTGGTCTAATATAGATAGAAAATTAGTTTTGAGACAACTAGTCTATAGTCTAAAAATAAAGTGTCACGCATAAAAGACAAACAAATAAAACCAGGGTTAAAAATTTACAAGTGGGAACCGTAAAGTTCACTCTAGATAATTAGAGCTCACATTATTTTTTTTATTTTTTACTTTTAGTGATGGGCGTGAAATATCTGTTCCTTTGCAATGTCTCAACCAACAATTGGTCCAGTTA